CTATCAGGCGTCAGATCCCAAATCAGTCAGGTACGCCGCCCTTGGATAGGGACGTCCTTGGCATCGGGTACGTCTAGCGGGCCTGGTGTTTTGGAAGTGAAGTGTTGGAGTGGCGAGCGAGGTGCCTTGAGTTCGGTTTGGAGTGTTCCGAGCTGCCACGGGTCAGCTTGGGTCAGCTTYGTGAGGCTTGGGGCCCAGTACAGTTCGTGCTCCTTGCAGGGAGCTCGGGTTCTCATGAGGGAGCTCGCTCTTATCAGGGAGCTCGGGCTCCTAGTAAGGAGCTTGGACTTAGGAAGCTCAGGTTCTTTAGGGAGCTCGGGTTCTTAGTACCGAGCTAGGACTTAGGGAGCTCGGGTTTTAGGGAGCTTGGACCTTTAACAGGGAGTTCGCTCTTAACAAGGAGCTCGGACTAAACACAGCAATCTGGAGTTGGGGCTCGGTAGTGAGTTTGGACTTGCTTCCGATGTTCGCTTTGGGTGCTCTACTGTCCCGAGCTGCTTGCCTTTGCCACGCGTCGGGCGATCGCGAGGTCAGGCCAAATTTCCCTTCATCAGCTGGGATCCATGCGATGCACAGCTTTGAATCAGAAAGCATCCCATGAAATTACCAATTGAACCTAAAAAAAATAAAAAAATTTGAAAGACATATTTTTTTAGGCCCATTCTGGGTAGGATTTTTTTTAATATATTAAGATATATAAATATTCTATAATTTTGATTATAAATTTAAATTAAATTTAAAATTGGCTTTATTAATTTATACGGACAGACTTCGAATTGGATGCTCAGCTCTAGGCTCTAACATAGGGGCTGTTTGGCATCATTACCGTTTCCTGGAGCAACGATGTCACATCAGCGCCACATCGGAAAAAACGGTGCTCCAAGAAACATGCATTTATTTGGAATCGTTTTTTTATAAAAAACGGTGCTCCAAGTCACGCCTCGGAGATCGGGAAACCATAGCTTGGAGCAACACCAAATTTGGCGTTTCCTAAAGCTGCAGCTCGTTGTTGCCAACAGGGTAGTGATGTGGCACTGGATAATGGGTACCAGTGCTGAAAACGTTTCCTGGAACAATGGTATCAAATAGAAAAAGTTGCTGTTGCTCCAGGAAACGTCCTACCTGATAGCAATGATTCCAAACAAAAATAAAGAAAAAAACGATGCTCCAAGCCACACATCAACAATACTGTTTTCTTAGAAAACAATGCAACTGCAGCATTGATGCCAAACATATACATATATAATTAGGGTCAAGATGTATAGGTCAGATTGGGCACAGACAGATCCTAAATGCTATAGAAGGCTCTAGCCCATGATCAATCCTTAAACGCCAGATTTAGAGGGCTCTCCGGGTTTACACAGACCACAGTCTGATTCGGAGTATAAGCCCGGCTAAGACCCGAGCACGGCCCCAAGCCCAAGGTCTTAAGGACCGGGCGGGCCAGAAATTGTTGTCTTAATCCGGATACATAGCGCGCCTGCGTCCGCGCCTCACACCACCCGCGTGTATTTTGATTTGAGAACATCTCCTGTATTTAATGCTGTGATTGATGGGAAGATGCTCCCAATTCACGGCTTCGATGTGATGTGAGACGCGCTGTGTGAGGAGTAAATCAGATATATGGGACTTCAATTTGGACGGTTTTGATTGATCGATGAATCGAAACAATACTCCACTCGTTCCGTATCCGTAGTATAGAAAAGAGTGGCAAGTTCTCAGGCAACAAAAGCCCACCTCATCGCTGCGGACGACGAAGTCAGAGTCTCAGAGATGGACAAGCCAAAGCAACCCTCATCCTCCGCTCTCTGTCTTCTGCCCATCTTGACGCCTCTCGTCGACTTCCTTCTTCTCCCAACTCAGACGAACCGGAATGAAACCCTAATCCCAATCATTTCCTGATCTGCCATGCTCCCTGCATGTGATCCCGTGGCCGCATTTGCGTCTCGCCCCACCCGACAACGAAAGGGTGATCTGGGAACCTATTAATTAATTATCTGAAGATACTCATCTTTTTCATCTATCTATCGTCGTCCATGTTCTCTTCTCAATCCTTAGGCGGTACTTCCCGTCCGGGTCGCATTCTCGGCCCTTCACTCGACAAGATCATCAAGAATGTAGCATGGAGAAAACATTCCCAACTAGTATCCGCCTGCAAATCCGCCATCGACAGGCTAGAAACGCTTAAAGACTCCTCCGATCCTATTCCGAATTCGCCCATCCTCGGATTTGCTCCTGTGGATGCTGAATCCGTCCTCCTTCCCCTAATCATAGCTATTGATTCGGCTTCCGTCAAAGTCGTTGAGCCCGCTCTTGAATGCGTACTCAAGCTGTTCTCTCAAGGCCTGATCCATGGTGAGATCGACCGCCAAGAGGGTAATGATAGTCCTTCCGTTACAGCTCGGCTGATTGATTCTATCTGCAAGTGTGGCGGTCTCGGGGATGATGGGATCGAGCTCTCTGTGCTTAAGGTCTTGTTTTGTGCCGTTCGGTCTCCATTCGTGTTGCTCCGGGCTGATTATCTGGTTCAGATTGTTAAAACCTGCTACAACGTGTACCTTGGCAGCCTTAGCGCCACTAATCAGATCTGTGCCAAGGCCGTTCTTGCACAGATTTTGTTGATCATTTTTGCCAGGGTTGAGGAGGACTCGATGGAGGTTATGGTTCACACTGTTTCTGTTAGTGAACTGCTGGAGCTTTCTGATAAGAACTTAAACGATTCGAACTTGATTCAGTTTGCTCAGAACTTCATTAACGAGATCATAGAAGGCAGTGAAGTGGTCTCTGACTTGAAAGCTTTTCCGTCTGCACAACTTGAATTACGAAATGGTGATGATTCGGGGTCTGCAGAGGAGGGAAACTGTAAATTAGGTGACGGGGAATTGAATGATGAGGCCGAATCAAATGGTGGCAGCAAGATCAGGGAAGATGGATTTCACCTATTCAAGAACTTGTGCAAGTTTTCGATGAAATTCTCAGCGCAGGAAAATCCTGAGGATCATCTTCTCTTGAGGGGGAAGATTTTGTCCCTGGAGTTACTAAAGATTGTCATGGAACACGGAGGTCCAACTTTTTGGCGGACAAATGAGAGGCAAGTGCTGTTATGCTGATTGTTGATTTATAGGCTTCGGATGTTTTTTTTTTTTTAAATTATTATTTTTGAATATTTGGACTCTCCATTTCAGATGTTTTTAAGAATATTCTAATAATTATGAACACAACAGGATTTCAGTTCTCGATTGAAAAATTTAAATGCCCTTGGTAAATAGTTATACCCTTGTGTGAAGTTCTTAACTTGAGTCTAAATGCCAACAAACTTCCTCTTAGGTGAACAAACCACGGAAAATCCTAGAGTAATGGCAAGTATATCACAGCTGTCAAGTGGAAATGCTAGCATTCCTTATCTTAAATAGTTGAAAAGCCTGTCCAGTTTAGCTTGGATTCTATGCGGTATGGTTTGCAATTGAGTTTTCTTGTAAAACAAACGGTAGGATTTAGTACAAGTTAAGCATTCCTTATCTTAAATAGTTGAAAAGCCTGTCCAGTTTAGCTTGGATTCTATGCGGTATGGTTTGCAATTGAGTTTGCTTGTAAAACAAACGGTAGGATTTAGTACAAGTTAAATCGTCTTTGATAAGTATCATGGGTCTTTGGAATTGGCATGTTGCAAAGATTGCAAACGGACAAGTAAGAGGCATAAAAGAGCATATATTGAGGTAGCTAGAAATGATATAAAGAGGTTTGATTTACCTGAGAATTGTTCCTATACAAAGTGGAATGGTGCATAGGGTTCGCGAATTGGAGCACAAGTGGTTCACTTGAGTTGATAACTAATCTAAGTATTGAAAGGAAAATTCAAAGATTTTCAAAAAGTGAGGTTTGTGCAGATTATTTTCAAGGTGCTTTTATTGTGGAAGACAAATTCTGGATTGGAGCTAGATAGCAAATGAATGTATGCACGAAATAAAAAAAAAGTTTGGAAAGGATGAATGTGCAAATTAGATTTGGAAAAACCTATGATTTGGTGATTGTTCCTTCATTTGGCTGTACAATACTTGGCTCCTCATGGTTAGACAAAAGTGTTTGGCCACCTCTTGATTTTCAGATCTAAACCTTAAACCCTAAAATTTAAACTCTAAACCTTAATCCTATAAACCCGTAAACCTCTAAACCCTAACCATAAATCCTAAAACTAGTTTGTAAAATGGCTTTAGTTGGATGCATGCCTTCCTACCGGGTAGATTAGCGTGTAAAATGGCTTTGGTTGGATGTGTTAACAGCTGTTATTTTTCCTATGTATAGTACCGCAGGGGTACTATTGTACTTTTACTCTTTCTTATTTTAGTTGTTGTCGCCCTAGTATATATATTAAAAAAGCTGCGCCACCGGCAGTATCTTTTGCTCTCAGTTCTCTCTTCTCTCTCTCTTTTCTCGCTTATTCCATTCTTCTCTCCTACATAACATGGTATCAGAGTGGAACTATCAAATCTGAAAGGAGAAGTCGAGTGAACGGTTTTTTTCCTTTTCTCTCTCTCTCTCTCTTAACTTTTTTTTTCTGGTTGTGTGCCAGGGCAGAACCTGTACTAGGTTTGCCGATTGTATGTGAGGTGATCAACACCTCTTTCTTTCCTTTTTTGTGCGGTCGATTGATCCCTGTGAAATTGTAGGCCGTGAGGACCTTTTTGTGTGCTGCAACAATAGCTTTTATGGTGAACTGAAGGTCAGAGAGTGACCAGTACTTGCTGTAACAATAGTTCTATTGATGCATAGGTCAAGAGATGACCTGTATGCACTGTGGCAACACTTGTGTTGAGCTTGTAAGTCAAGTGATGACCTGTTAGTGCTGTAATAGCACCTATGTTTTTACAAAAGGAGGTGTGTTTCTGAAGAAAAAAAAATTTATTTTTCGTTCCCCCTCAGTGTTGAATTTCTTTAAGGCTGTGTACCCCATTTAAGAGTTGTTTTTGAATMTGAAATCATGAGTGGTGAAGATTCTGCTACATCCGGTGTTTCCTCAATGCTGAATAGAATGAGTGGGGGTGTGGACCTATCCTTTCCCATGGCTGTTATTCCTCTTGATGGTTTAAATTATTTAGAGTGGTCAAGAGGGATCAAGTTGTACATCACTGCAAGGGGAAGATATGTTATATTAATGGGAGAATCAAAGAATCACATTCTGGGATGCTGAATATGACAGATGGAATCAGGAAAACAGCATGGTCATGTCTTGGCTTTTAGTTTCTATGCAACCTCAAATAAGAAGGAATTTCATGTGGGTTGAAACGGCAAATGAGATATGGGAACAAGCAAAATGAACATATTCGGAACTGTGACACTATGCAAAAATCTACCAGTTACAGGCAGAATCGTTTACTTGTAAACAGGGGGAGAGGTGTCTATCTGTGTACTACTCAAACTTGACCTTTGTTGGAAGGAGTTAGATCATTATCAAAGTGTGGACCGGAAGTGTGATGAAGATGCAAAACTGTACAAAAAACTTGTCTCTTAACAAAGTATTTGCTTTTTTACATGGTTTGAACCCTACATATGAATCTATTTGAGTCCAGATCCTAGGTAGCAAGGATCTTCCATCAGTTCAGGAAGTTTATGCTCTTGTACAATCAGAAGAAAGCAGAAGGAATTTGATGAAYARTTCTGGAGGAKATGCARTTGTGTTGGCAGCGAAAGGGAGTGTTACTACCGGTGGGGGAAATACTTTTAAGAAGGGGGATCTTCAGAAAAAGATGGATGACAAGGACAAATTGTGGTGTACTCATTGCCCGAAACCCCGATACACCCAAGACACATGCTGGGATCTTCATGGGAAGCTGAAATGGGCTCAAGATCTGAATAAGAAGCAAGGTTCAGATATGAATAAAAGTCAGGACAACAAGGTACAAGAAAACACACTATGGCAAACATGGCTACTTAGGAGAATCAACCCCTCATTCATACTATGACTCAGACGCATCCATCTGGATCTGACCCAAGGGAGGATATTATGAATTCCTTCCGTGACCATTTAGAGCTCTATGGTAGAGCAATTCGTAAGATGGATGCTCCTTCCTCAACTTCATTTGCGTCTACATCAGGTAACTCTGCCACAACCTTCCATGTTGCTTCTCATAACATTGACACTCCCTGGATCATTGATTTTGGAGCGTCAAAACACATGACTGGTACGTCCTCTTACTTTCAAACCTATCACCTTCTTTTTAGAAGAGACAAGGTGAGACTAGGTGATGGATCATTCACTACCATAGCTGGTCAATGAACCATTTCTCTCCCTCTCGGCCTTACCTTCTTTGATGTTTTACATGTTCCAAAATTTTCCATTAATTTGTTCTCTGTTAGTAGTATTACTAATTCCTTAAACTGCTCAGTGACCTTTTTCCCTTCTTATTGTGTGATCCAGGATCTGGCTTCGGGGAGGACGATTGGTATTTTCATAGTGATGCCAAATAGTATTTTTCAAGTTAAAATCCATATTTTTCAGTCAGATAATGCCAAATAGTATTTTCATAATGATCTCATGGAATTTTTTTCTTCACGTGGTTCACTTCACCGTAGCTCTTGTGCCCAAACACCACAACAAAATGGGGTCACTGAAAGAAAGAACCGACACCTCCTTGAAGTGGCCCGGGGTTTACTACTCCATATGAACGTCCCAAAACGCTTTTGACTTGAGGCTGTCCTTTGTGCTACCTACCTCATCAACCGTATGCCCTCTTGTTGGTTAGAGTGCAAAGCCCCACATCAGCTTCTCTTTCCTAAGGCCCTCTTCTTCCCATTCCTCCTCGTGTGTTTGGTTGTCGTTGCTTTGTCCAAAATTTGTCACCCATTTGTGGAAAATTGGATCGTCGTGCTATTCCTTGCATATTCCTAGGGTACTCCACTCAGAAGGGATACCGTTATTTTGATCATGTTTCTCAGAAATTCTATGTTTCCATGGATGTCTCTTTCTTTGAGAGTGAGCCTTTTTTCCCTGTTTCTCCTCAGGGGGAGAGTAGGAATGAGGAGAAACTGATTCAACTCCCTCCTCTTCCTGATCCTCCTCCTTTTCGTGTCTTCTTCCGTCGTCACAAAGGCCAACCAAATTCAAGAGCTGTGGAGAATCCAAAAGCTGTACCTCCAATGCCATTAAATTCTTCGGGGGCGGATCATACTCACTCAGGTATCTTGGTTCCCATTGATGTCCCTGACCCCATTGCAATTGATACCTATGTTGCTAATGACCTTGACCTTCCTATTGTTCATAGGAAAGGTGTTAGATCGTGCACCACTAAATACCCCATTTCCCACTTTGTTTCCTATGAAAACATTTCACCCTCTTTTTGAGCCTTTCTCACATCCATTGACAGTGTCCCTATCCCTAAGAATGTGGCAGAAGATCTTCAGTACCTGAATGGACAGATGCTATGAAGGAAGAAATTAATGCCCTTCATAAAAATGGCACATGGGAACTTGTRRATCTTCSTAARGGARRKGAYCYAGTTGGATGTAAATGGGTGTTCACAGTCAAACATAGGGCTGATGGCACAGTGGAGAGGTATAAAGCTCGTTTAGTGGCAAAAGGGTTTACACAAGTGTACGGAGTTGATTATGTAGAGGCTTTTGCACTCGTTGCCAAGATGAACTCCATTAGAGTTCTATTATCTCTTGTTGTTAATCTTGACTGGGATCTACATTAGCTTGATATCAAAAATGCATTCTTGAATGGTGACCTTGAAGAGGAAGTTTACATGATACAACCCCTTGGTTTTCAGGCTCAAGACAATGAACAAAAGGTGTGCAGGTTGAAGAAGTCTTATACGGGATGAAACAATCACTGAGAGCCTGGTTCAATAGATTCCATGCAGCGGTTCAACAAAAAGGATACAAGCAATGTCAGTCTGATCACATGTTGTTTGTGAAAAGAGGAGAAGGTAAAATTGCTTCTTTGATAGTTTATGTTGATGATATAATTATCACTGGCGACTGGAAGGATGAAATCCAAAAGTTGAAGAGTTTCTTGCCACACAGTTTGAAGTAAAGGGTCTAGGTCCTCTAAGATACTTCATAGGAATTGAAGTTGCCCGCTCAAAAAGGGGTATCTTCATTTCCCAAAGGGAGTATGTCCTAGATTTACTCCAGGATACAGGAAAAATGGGAGTGAAGCCAGTTGATTCCCCTATTGATCCTAACCATAAATTAGGTGACAACCAAGGTGGACCTATCAAGGATGTAAAACAGTTTCAGAGACTTATAGGGAGATTGTTATATCTTTTTATGACCCGCCTAGACATTGCTTATGTAGTTGGTGTCCTTAGCCAGTTCATGCATGCCTCTATGACCACTCATCTTGAAGCAGCAGAAAGAATCTTTCGATACCTTAAAAGGTTTCCAGGTGCTAGCTTGTTGTTTCAAAGCCATGGACATTTGAAAGTTGAAGTGTATATTGATGCAGATTGGGCAGGATCCCTAAATGGCAGAAAGTCAACTAGTGGCTATTGTACTTTCATAGGAGGAAATCTAGTTACCTGGAGAAGCAAAAAGCAAAGTGTGGTAGATAGATCCAGTGCTGAAGCTGAATGTCGAGCCATGGAGTGGTTGAAATTATGTGGATAAAGAATCTGTTGAGTGAGTTGGGTTTTACAGTGGATAGACCTATGACCATATTCGGTGATAACAAAGCAACCATAAACATTGCTACTAACCCTGTGCTACATGATATAACTAAACACATCGAAGTCGACAAGCATTTTATCAGAGAGAAGGTTATCACAGGGGAAATGTGTACTCCTTATGTCAACTCTGAGGATCAACTTGCAGACATCTTTACAAAATGACTACACCACTCACGACATCATGATTTATGTGACAAGTTGGGCATGATTGACATCTATGTCTTAACTTGAGGGGGAGTGTTAACAACTGTTATTTTTCCTATGTATAGTACCACAGGGGTATTATACTTTTACTCTTTTATTTTAGTTGCTATCGCCCTAGTATATATATATAAAAAAAGTTATGCCGCCAGCAATATTTTTTTCTCTCAGTTCTCTCTTCTCTCTTCTTCATTCTCTCTTTTCTCTCTTCTTCCATTCTTCTCTCTTGCATAACAGGATGCGTGTCCTCTTAATGGGTAGGAGCCTCAGCCAGGTATTTTTCCCATTTGATCTGGTGTTAGTTAATTGTGGTTTTGATGAGTCATGGAGGTAATGGATTAGAGGGTGCCTAACATCTTGTTATTACTTAATCTTATTAAATGGGGTAAGAAAGGATTTTAGAGGTTGGCAAGTGGGGAAGGAATATACTACAATTATCTATCTTTGGTTTGTACGTAGGGAAGTCAACTATTGAAAGCCATCTTTCTATTGAGAGAAAAATTTAGCGAAGGTCTTCATATGATATTCATTGGTATAGAGAAAGCATATGATAAGAGTCCATAGGCTTGGAAATGTATTTAGTTTCTTCTTCCTTCCAATTCTTGGAGGGTGTTTATTTGACAACTTGTTGCCAGATAGTAGAATTTGGACCATTACTTTGGTGTCTTTACTTGTGCCTCGTTTTTCACATCCTTGTCATCCTCTTCTCTATTGCCATATAGAGGTTGTTTAGAGTGGATTTTGTGCCACCTAAAATTAGGGCCTTTTTAGAGCAAGCTATGAAGTGACACATCACCTGGTGTCTTAAAACTTGGACTGGAGTTTCAATTATTTTTCCTTTTGAGTAAATGGGTAAACTTGCGATGCCATCAGTAAAAAAATTACAAATAAAATAATACAAAAACTGAAAACCTGTTAAATGGGTTAGATAGGTTAATGGTTCGATTGTCCAAGATGATAGGTGATTGACTGAGCCAATGGTTTTCTGTAACATAGTAAGTTAGATATTGACCCAATTGGGTGGCAGATTGGGTGTAGGGATGGCAATGGGGCGGGTTCGGGGAGGATTTTGTAAATTCTAGACCCTACTCGTCTCCCTAAACCTCTCAACCCGTACCCGCCCCAAAACCCATAGTGGGTTGGATTTTAAGAATCCAAACCTTACCCGTACATGAAAACACAAAACCCTCCCCGACCCTACCCTCCCCGCATTCAAGGGTAGGGGTGGGTTGAGTTTAGAACCCACATCTAGTTTCCTTTTATTTCTTGTCATACATAAGTAATAAATAAGAAAAATAACACAAATAAACAACAAAATTTCCAATTATTTGATTAAAGCATGTAAAAAACTATCAACTATCCTCATGTAAAATTTAAATATTATTAAATTCAAGACCTAGTACATAAAGTTTATATGCTTTCCAACAATGTGCAGGTCGGGTTTAGCCTAATACTGCACCCTACCTGTATCTGTATGGATTGTAGAATCTCAAAACCTGTCCCCATCCCAAAACCCATTCTTCAACTAAAAAAACCCACCTCGTCGGGGAGGGTAAGGCCGGGTTCTCACCAGGTAGGGTAGAAGTTGCCATCCCTAATTGGGTGTTGGTTCTTCCAGATTTTAGGCAAATTGATAAGGTGGATTGGGTGTTGTTTTAGAAATAAAAACAATGGGTGGGTGGCAACTGGCAGCAGCAAAGAGGTTAGGTGTACTTATGCATGCACAAAATTCTTTTGTTCATAATCAATAAAGTCAACTATTACTAATAAAAAACAGAAAAAACTACAAGTATTGAACAAATTATATAATTGGAACTGAGTTATAGATCTTCATATACAATTAAAGCAAAATATCTCTGTACATAATACATGCAGGATTATTATGAGATTCAAACAAAATCTTAAAAGTTAAACTTAAAATCCCCTAAATAGAGGATATAATTTTCAATGCTGTTCTCCAGACCATAACTAAAATCAAACTGAAAAAGAGAAAGTCTTGATGCAGCAGGAAGCCCAAAATGGGGTTTTGATGTTTAAAATGTGCTTTCCTTGATAATTTCGTTTCTTGTTTTTTTCCCACTTATCTCTTGAACCAACAAAATGGGATCAATGTGCGAGAGAAAGAGGGAGAAGAGGGGATCTGATGGGGGCTTGAAGTTTAGTGAAATCATAAGTTATCTAGAAAGAGAAGAAGGGGGGAAGCCATGTAAGTGAAGGGGACAAGTGGGCGAATTTAAGGTTCCATCTCTACTTTTTTAAAAGGTGTTTTAATTGCTCTATCACTTGCCATGAACTTATTTTTTTCCCAGAAAGAAAGTAATTAATAACAATAGTTTCCCTTATCAAGCAATGAGGCATCCATGTAATAAAGTAATTAATGATACTATACATGTAATTAGATACTGATTTCTTTCTCTTATATCCAAATGAACTGAGTCTACCTAGCTTGGCTTCACGCTAAAGTTTTCCTTGTGAACCAAAATAACTGTCATTGAGCAATTTTCTTTTATCTTCTTTAATCATGGAAAGGATCTCACATTTGGTTGCTCCTTGTGCAGGTTTCTCAATGCTCTCAAGCAGTATCTTTGCTTGTCTTTGTTAAAGAATAGTGCGTTGTCAGTCATGAGTATTTTCCAACTTTTGTGTTCTATTTTCATGAGTATGTTATTGAAGTTCAGATCAGGATTGAAGGCAGAAATTGGGATTTTCTTTCCAATGCTTGTCCTTCGAGTGCTTGAAAATGTCCTTCAGCCTAGTTTTTTGCAGAAAATGACAGTTCTCAACTTGTTGGAAAAGATTTCTCATGATTCACAGGTCATCATTGACATTTTTGTGAACTATGATTGTGATGTGGATGCACCAAATATTTTTGAAAGGTACTTTACTTATTTTTTTCTCAAATTTTCTTGTTCACTATGTAAAACATGCTTCTGCAGCAAGCTTATTATTATTATTTTTTGATAAAAAATCAGGAGGGGGCAGCAAGCTTTTATTAAAATTTAACAATTGCCTTCTTATGACAAATTAGTCCTAAACACCAATTATCTGACAAATTAGTTCCATAGTCAGGTATTTAGATCTGGCCAAGCCATAAGTTGATCCTGCCATCTGATTGTTAGAACACTATTATATAGACCAAGAGATTGATCTCTTCACATGACATATCTAAGTATATACTACAGATGTTAGCAGCTAGGTAGAGTTGAATTGTTCTGACCAGTGTTGCATGGACATGGACACAAGAGTTGAAATTTAATGCATGGACTCATGGACACATCTATTTTTTTTTTTTTTTTTGCATTTAACATTACATAAATGCAAAAGAAGTTATCTTTGTTACTAACATTTGATACAAAAATGCCATTGACTCTATTCATTTATGTTGAACAAACTAGGAGATAAAGGATTGGTTTGGTCATGCATAGAAGACCTTCAACAGCACGAGTTAGAAGTAGGGATTTATTACAAGTTGAAGGGGCTAGAAGGGCCCTAGGTAAACCAAAAAGGACTTGGGCGGAAGTAGTAAAGAAATGACATGAGCACTAATAATTTAACAATGGATATGGCTTTAAATAGAATGGATTGGCGAAACAGGATTCATGTAGTTGACCCCATATAGTTGGGATAAGGGATGATGATGATGAAGCTAGGAGTCAAAAGGGAAATGCTATGTTGAAGTGTTTTTTAAGAATCCATGAAGTGTCAGATTAGGGAAATCCATGCAACAGTGGTCCCTATACACCTCAACTCAATATCTTTCTAGTTGTTATCCTTCATCTTCTTTGGTCAGATTTGAATGGGATTTAAAAGAGATATCGTCAACATATGGGTGTGTGTGTGGAAGGGTTATATGAATTTTCAACTAGTATTGTACATTTATCAAAAAAAAAATTTTCCAACTAGTATTGTAAGACTTGAACCATTTGCCAAACCAGAATCTCCTCCAGTTATTAGGTTTTCCAACCCAAGCTGATTTGCAATCTGAATTCCTTGTAGTGTAGCAAGCAATTCAACCCTAATAGAAATTCTTTCCCCTTCTGGTCTAAAAAAAAGTCACAATGTTTTCATCCTTGTCTCTCGCTACTCCTCCAATTCCAGAGGGTGTTGGATTGCCTTCATTACTTCCATCAAAATTCATCTTCAAATAATCATCCGTAAGTGGTGCCCAAAAAAGGTTATAATTTCTATACTAGAAAATTTGTTTTTGTTTTAAAAAGCAATATTTTGTTGGTTTCAAAAACATGTATTGTTTTTTTGAAACAAAATCAACTTGCTTTTCCCTTTGAAAACAAAAACAGAGTTCAAGAACATGGTTTTGGTTTTTTGCTGATGTGGCAATTCCAAAAAACAAATGATTGCTAGTGCCTCCATATTTTGATTATTGATTTGCAAGTTGTGGATGAGAGATATTTGCTGAAGTTTATCCCAGCGGCTTCTTCCCATATATCAATTAAAGTTTTCCTCAAGGACATATCAAGCTGCTGTGTGATGAATGTCCAATCGAAAGCCAAACAAGATACCAATGAAGTAATTACTCAAACTACTCTACTTCCTGAGCAGCACCAAGATGAGAACTTGGTCAACAAGGAGAAACTGCCACCTCTCCCTCTGTGCCATGATGTATATTCCTTCTGTAAAACCTTGACTGCCTGAAATACAAGCACTCATGATGGTTTTTCAGTCTTGTGATGGCATACAAATGAATGGAATTGAGTGGTAGCAAAGGAATTGGTAGCAAAGGATCTGCATTGAATTTCTTTTTGAGAGAAAAAAAGGATCTGCATGGAATTGAGTGGCGCTTCTGCCATATATTTCATGATCAGACAAGGAGGCACTTGTTTCAAGGTGGTTGAAGCTTCTTTGTTAGCTCCAAAGGGCTTGTTGCAGGAGATGCTTTTATTTTTCCGAGTTGTAAATTGGGGAACTTTGAGTAAGGGTGACATGTGCCATGAGACAACAGAGTAATGTTCCATCTTCAGTCATGTCTAGTGACATCATGCACCTAGGTGTCTTTGCATGGCATGATGTCTCAAGTTTTTTTTTTTGGATTTTTCCATCTAATCTTTCCAGATTTTGTTTAAGCTTCCACTGAATTGTTAATTAGCATCATGCTCTTTGAGATTTCGCTGGATTTTCCAAAAACATATTCTGAAATTTTATCAGAAAACAAGAAAAAGAGGATCACCCAAAGAGAAGTAAACTTTGACAGAAGAACTGCATGGTATGAAAATATGCTTCGTCTTTGCATTTGGCCCTAATTGATTGGTTCCCTTGAGCCAAGAAAAAAACTGCAAAACAAGCTGTCAAACCCAGATCCCATTAGAAGAATGACCTCACTAGATGATCATTCACATTTCTGACCGTTATCAAACCCTCTTCTCTGCATTTGACATTCTTGTCTTTTTTTCTCTAATATAATGTTCTTTGTTTCATTCTATTTTTGTAATCAAGGATTCTTGCATTTGACATTCTTTGCTTCCATTGGGTTCTACTTATTTTGATAATTTGAAGAACTAGTAAGGGTAAAAGAAACTTTTTGATGATTCTGCTAGACATAAATATCGCAGGGGAAGTTGTAAGAGGAGGGGGTTTAGTGTTTATGAGGAATGTCAAGGGAGGTTTAAGTCTTCTACCCTAAATAGCTCGAGAACACCCAAATTTTTGGGGCTCACTTCATGGCTGAAATTGGAGGAGCTGCCACCCATCAAAAGAAGGGACAAGGGAGTGATGGGCCTCCTGTGTTAAAGAAACCAATAGTTGACTCCCTAGCCCATTGCAAGGCTTTTTTAGGTACTTTTAGGGGATAGAGGGAAGGTATTAGGCACTTCATAGCTCGAGAACACCCAAATTTTTGGGGCTCACTTCATGGCTGAAATTGGAGGAGCTGCCACCCATCAAAAGAAGGGACAAGGGAGTGATGGGCCTCCTATGTTAAAGAAACCAATAGTTGACTCCCTAGCCCATTGCAAGGCTTTTTTAGGTACTTTTAGGGGATAGAGGGAAGGTATTAGGCACTCCTCTCCCTTGAGAAAAATGTAGTACTATTCCCCTAGGATTTGAGCAAAGAAAAGAACAACAAAACTTGACAAATTTTAGTCTTATAGTCTTTTACCCTAAATGCAAAATTAAGCTTATGGACAAATGCTTTAGAAATAAGAGGTCTTTAAATTAAGTAGGACTAAAGTAGAGTATATGACATGTAAATTTAGTAATAATAGGAGTGTAAATCAAGATACACTTAGGATTGACGATTGAGAGATAACTCAATGTCACCATTTCTGGTACCTTGCTTCAATAATTCATAACAAAGGAGAGATTGAGGAGGATGTCACCTAAAGAATTAGAGCAAGACAGGTAAAATGGAGGGGTGCATCTGGACTTTTATGTGATAGGTGAATACCACTTTGATTAAGAGAAAAATTCAAAACAATTGTAAGGCCAACTATGTTGTATGGAGCGGAAGCGTTGGGCAGTTAAGAAACATGTCTAGAAAATGAATATGCAAGAGATGTGAATGCTAAGACGGATGAATGGAAAAACTAGAAAGGATAGGATTAGGAATGAAGTTATCTGTAGGAACCTAGGAGTAGCTCCAATAGGTGATAAAATGAGAGAGGCTAGACTAAGATTGTTTGGGCACGTGCATAAAAGACCACCAACTGCACCAGTTAGAAGAAGTGATTTGTTATACACTGAAGGGGCTTGAAGAGCTCAAGGTAGACATGAATTAAGCACTAATAATTTAACAGTGGATATGGCTTTTAGTAGAACGGGCTGCCGAAATAGGATTCATGTAGCCGGCCCCATATAGTTAGGATACAACATGGATGATGATGAGTCTTTTACCCTGAATAGCTTGAGAAGCAAACAAATTTTTGGGTGACATGAACCAGTTTATAAACTTATTGGTTTGAACTTGGATTGGGGCTCCTTTATCTTGGCATGGTCACTTAAAAACTCACATGACCTTGGCGGAGAATCGAGAGATTATAAACCAAAACCCAGGTTTATCATCTTGTTCACTAAGATGAGTGAGGTCATCCACCATTAAATGGTTTTTTTTATTAGCTTCCACTATTTATGGTTGTTGTGATTGATGTGGTTATGCTTCAAGAAACAAAACTGCCCGAGTTTGATAGAAGATGGACAAGATGTATCTAGAGGTCTAGGCTCTAGGAGGGTTAGTTGGGATTCACTATCATGGGGGGGGGTTCTGGAGGCCTAGTAATTTTGTGGAAGAATGTATACCTAGAAAGCTTGGAGGAATTGGTGGGGATGTTCTCTATCATGATAAAATTCAAGCAAGTGGAGAATGGATTTACATGGGTGTTGACCAATGTGTATGTCCCTAACAGGTGTAGAGAATGGAATGAAATATTGTAATGCTTTAAGAAACAAAACTACTTGAGTTTGATAGAAGATGGGCAAGAAATGTCTGGAGGGCTTGGGGGATTAGTTAGGCTTTGGCTCCATAATGGGGGGCTTCTGGAGGCCTAGAAATGTTGTGGAAGAATGTATACCTAGAAAGCTTGGAGGAATTGGTAATGACGTTCTCTATCTTGATAAAATTCAAGCAAGTGGTGGATGGGTTTACAAGGGTGTTGACCAAAATGTATGGCCCTGACAAGTATAGAGAATGGAATAAAATGTGGGAGGAACTTTATGATATAGGTTGTGGGAAGGTCCCTAGTGTTTGGGGAGAGACTTCAATGTGATAAGGTGCACCCATGAAGCAAACAACCCTAGGCAATAGATAACTACTAGCATGAGAAAATTCAACCAATTCATAAACGATTGAATTGAAGGAGCCTCCCCTCCTACAAAGCTAAGTACACTTGGTTCAATCCCCAAACTAACCCAATTTGCTCCAAAATTG